TACTCCGACCTCCAAAAAATCTGTTCTTATTAGGAACATTGACTGTATGCCTATAATATTACTCATTAAACTTTATAACTTATTTTCTAGTTTACAGTGTATTCTCACGATAAAACAGTTACAGAATGTCTAGACCAAAAAAGAAATTCGAAAGAATTGAATGCAAATAAGATTACTTGGAAAGAAGAGATGAACGGCCTTGAAAACATACGTACAACAGAAGCGAATATGGTTGAAGAAGAAAAGAAAAAGAAAGGAAGCAAAGAAAGAGAAAAAATCTTCCTGTGTAGCTGATTTATCACATGTGCAGCTTGTCCTTTTCTTTTTCTCTTTCCTTTTTTTCTGGATAAAAAGCAAAAATATTTTGTGTTGTTGTACATATTACTCCTCGTTTTTTGCTTGCTTCGAAGAGATACAGACAGATAGATACACTATATTATTTTGTGTGTTTTAAAAGGTGGTATTGATTATGTCGTCTTCTAAACGTAAAAGAGATAGCAGCAACACTACTACTGCGGTAAGTGTAACTTATCCATTAACTGGATAATCTGATGATAATACTCAGTTTTTGATCCCTTTTGATATGATTTCGTTCGATTTAAAATAATAAAACAAATATACAACCGGAACAACAATTTAAATTATGAGTGTACGTCTGTTATGGATGTGTCAGTGTTTTGAATAAAATTTAAATTTCTAATTTTTGAATTAGTTTCTCTCTCTTTAGTCTAATACAAAGTCTGACTCATCATCATCTAAGAAAAAACCAACAACAACAAAGTCCTCATCTTCTGCTCTCTCTTCTGAACAGTTTCTATCTAATGGAAAATCTTTATACTTGACAATAACTGATGAAAGTGGAAATGTTCTCTTGGATAAACAAGAATGTAAAGCAAAACAATTTTCAACTGGTAGTCTTGGATGGTCCTTGAATGGAAAAAAGTTTACGACAACACTTAGTGAGAAAGAAGCAAAAACTCAAGTGAATTGTAACTTGATTATTGATAACAGCAAACCAACAACAGCTACGAAGTCAACGTCAAAGGCTAAGATTGCTGCTCCTGACGACGATGAAGAGAGTGACTAGTGATTTTTTTTTATTCACTTTTATAGTGCATTTTTTTTCCATTACAATTTTGAAATAAAAGTAAGAAAGCAAAGTGTAGCTCTAAACTCTGACTCATTTCAAAAAGTTTTTATTATAAGATTTGATCAAAGCTGTACCAATACATTAAAGTGTAAACCAATTAGATCAGACTAGACCACTCATTGAACAATTTTCTATAGAAATTACAATTTCAATGTGTGCATTCATTATGAAAATTCGATCAATTGTAGTAGACTTCAAGCTCAGCATTTTGGTCAAAATATATTTGTGTAAAATATCTCCGCATCGATTTAGAAAGTTCAGACATAAGGTCTGAAATCCTAGTTAAATTTGACATAATTTCGCCCTTCTCGAGTTTCTATTGTAGTAACGTTTTGAGTAACATTTTTACTTTAGACACACAACAGAACAGGAAAGAAAAATCCCTTGCTTAGAAGTGACCAATAATTTTTAATGAAATCACTGAATAGAATAAAGAAGACAGATATAGATGGTAGCTGAAGATGACAGTGTAAAACGATCAAAAGAAAATAATAATTAATATCTTATATCGAAATTCTTCGCACATATCATAGTACCCTTCTCGTGACAGTTGTCGTTCCCATAAGCTTCGATATATGTAATGAGATTGTTGCTCATGTTTTTATTCGATTCCATGCGTTATATTAGTTGCCAGGAAACTGATTTTACTGCAAAGAGATGGACAATAGGTTTAAAGTGGGCACAATAAGCATAATGGCTGGGTGTAGGTGTGTGGGTGAAGAGAATACGCTTACCCAGACACTCACGCGCACACCATCTTTAATTAATTTTAATGAATTTTGCCTGTTGGAATAGATCAGGAATGTTGCATTCTAATATGATTCTTTGATTATCTCGTCATTAACATGAAATTGATTACAACCAACGGTTATTTAATTTTTGTTTTACATAGATCATCGGATCATTGTTGTTTGAAACGAGTAAGCAATGTAGAAATGTGATGAATCTCGAAAAGAGATTGGTGTTGAACACAGACTGTAAGAATATGAAGAAACTGTACAGGATTTGTTCAAGAAATTGGAACTATCGATAAAACTTATTGATGGATACCTTAAAGGTAATGTAATTCATCCACAAGTCAGGATCAAAGACAGAGATATTAAAAAAGTGTGTGCTATGCAGGAAAGAAGTTAACAATCTAAGACGAAAAAATTATTATTGCAAGGAATAATCTTTTACTTTCTTTTTAAAATGAGATCTGTTTATGGCTTTCTCATAGTTTTGATCGAACTTTTGGCGAAAGCTTTGCAGATACAAAATTACCTTTTACAACTTTCAGACAAGCTGTGAGTGTATGTGACTCTTTTTGTAAACATGTTCAAGTTCTTCATCTTACTAATCAATAGCAGATTTCCCCTGATCATTTTCATTGTCTTGATTCTAATTCATGCTTCTCTTTTTTGAAGATATTTGAATGTCAACTAGTAGAAGTTTAGCGATCGCTATTCGTGGGCGTGTTTTGAACTTTTGGTTTTCCGAGTATCGATGTCCTTTGACGAACAACGTTTCAATGGTTCGTAAAACTCTGCCACATGAATCTGATCTTCAACAGCGGTTTAGGGTCTCCTAAGAATTCGATGCGAAAGTTAGAGAAAATGTTGAGAAGGATCTGGAATTCCTGATCAATATTCAATATCATTATCCAAATGATATCGATGAAGCAGAGCATTTATTGGCTTGCATCACTGCTCAAGATCAGTTTCCAAGGGATATGTTTCGCAATAGTGCACGTACCTTTGTCTATGATTCAAACGCCGATCAACAACTCTCGTATCTCAAACGAATATTTATTTATATACCGCTGCAACACAGCGAAAATATCTAGATGATCAACATCGAGCAGTGAGTTGTTTCAAACAATTAGATCAAGATGCGAAAGAGAACTTAGTAGTTGGAGACGAAATTAAAAGTTTCTTGCATCAATTCATTGGATTTTCTGAGCAGCATCAACAATTGATCGAAAGCTTTGGACGTTTTCCACATCTCAATGAGGATGAAATAAGTATAATTTCTCATCAAAGCGAATAGAAAACAGCATTCATTGTGTTCTCCACTGTTTTTTGACATCATCACGTTTCTTTCAATATCTATTGACAATAAAATCTCTAATACATTATTTGTTCGAATGTTTGAATCGATAGATCTATATACATTCGAGCAAAACACAGATTGAGTTTCATTTATCTACATCAATTCAGAGCGAACAAATTACATTATATGAGTCAAATATTTTATTTGAGAGGCACCCAAGGACTGAGGAATAGTTATTCCTACTCAGTTTCCTCACCATTCTTGGAATACTAAAATTGAAAACATGAATATCTACGATACTTTTTACTCTTACACTCATTTTCATGAAGAAATTCGTGAACATGAATGTATGAGTACGGAACCTATTTAAAACAACATTATTTTGACTTTCATGGATAGGGAAACTGTAAGGGAAACAATAATTCGTTCCTATTTCCCCGAGAAATTTTCAAATTAGGAATTCCTATTTCTGAGTCGTTAGACATTGCTGTTATGAAGACTATAATTTTTCAAATGTTTTGTTAACTTTCATTAAAACTATTATTTAAGATTAGAGTTCTGGAGTATCTGTCAATGGAATTTGGCTCAATAAAACGTTATTGATTATACTAAACAAACTTTTCATATATTATCTATACGTATATATTGAACTGAAGAAAATTTTGGTAGTAAATCGATGGAAGTTATTTATTCGTGCTTTTTCATGAAAAACAAAGTACTATGTCGTTATTTCCATTGCTCGAACACTGAAATCTTGAGAAAACTAGATTAGTTTCAAAAAGTATGAAATTTATCCATTTCATATTAGGACTATATATTCAAAAAAAATGCTTCTCTTCTTTCATTTTATGATCTTAGCTTGACATCCACTTGGCCATTCTTTGTTTATAAATGTGTTCCAATAAACAATTATTAAATGGCTGTTCACTCAGAAGACTAAAATTTATTTTTTAATGGACTTAATCTACAAAATGCTATTCTAGCTCTTGTACTAGTAGCAAAAATGCTTGCATGTAGCTTTTGCTGTATTATGCATCCATGTAGATTTTAGTTCATCTTCTATCTGCAAATAAAAGTTTTTATAAAATAATGCAAAATCTAGCATAGTAAGTAATCAATAATCTATATGATATTTGCTTCTAGGTAAAAAGACTGACAAATACCTTTCAGCAAACAAAAGTGCAGTTTTTACTATGGGGAAACAGCAGACTTCAGTTCATTGAAGTCCAATGAAGTCCATTGGAGTCCTTCAAAATCTCTTGAAATCCTTAGCAGCTCTCCATAAGTCCATTATAGAAATCTAAAACGATTGTGTCTTGATTCTTTTCATCCATAGTTACGTCAAATACGACAGATATTGGTTTCGATTTAGAGACGAGTACATAGCACCTTCCTATTACCTGTGTGTAGCACATTCACTGACTCTAAAACGTTAAATTAAACAGAATACTGCTAATTTAAAAACAAAATGAAACAAAATATTCCATAAAGAAAAAAACATTTATTTATTCTTTTTTTTGTTGGTTTGCTTTACTCGAAGTAACCGGTCATTTGAAAGTTTACTTTTGTCAGCTGTTAATAACCAACAAGCAGTCTGTTTATGTAAATATTTTGTATCATTATTAATTGTGACTTTAAAATAAAATTGTTTTATGTGAGGTTCGATCTTATTAAAGACTTTCATTCCAATAAAATCTGTTTTTGTCGTGTTTATTAAATCTGCAGTATCATCTTGTTCATCGTCATCTCTGCACACTAAATAAAAATGTGTCGCATGTGTCGTGATTTGCGACACATTGTACAATACATTGCAGTACGACACAAGGAGTTCACTGCGACACATTTTCTCCAGCGAGACTGCGACACATTTTGTACGACAAATGCGATACATTTTCTATTGGTTCTTTTCGAAAAGTATAATTATTTCAATTTTTTTCTGTTCAATATAATTCCATTGAATTATTTCTATGGTGAAAACTCTAGCAGGTTAGATCCTGAGATCTGTCCTGCTTCGAGTTCATCTGATTTGCATCAGACGACTCCAATGTAATCCTTTCTCGATGATGAATCGAGATTGGCATTTTCTCGACAAAGACTATCGAGAAATAATTTAGAAAAAAAAGAATATTTTGAAAATTCATTTTTCTTACGTTCAACCACGTTGTTTATATATCGTCATGTCTGCATAATAAAAGGGTGAACGACTAGATAGCAGACAGAACGCGAAAAATTCGTATGCGACACATTCTGTGCACGACACATTTTTCTGCTGGACTGCACGACACAATAATTCACGACACATAAACACAACGCATTTTAATTTAGTGTGTGTAATCATCATGCGAGGAAAAACTATCATTATTGTCATCATCCATGTTGAGATCATCTGTTGTTTCGTCTTCATCATCATCAGCTATTTCAAATTCTCCATCATCTATATTGCTTAGTTGAAATGAGTAATCATACTTAGGTCAGTCCAAAAGTAGTGAGAGTAACGCTTTAATGCCATATAGTAAACTGAATGAGAGCTTCTTTTATTATGAAACGATAGAGAAAAAAATGCTCCATCTTTCTATGCTATTTGATCATACTGTAGTTAATATTATGATAGAAAAGTTTTCATAAGATTCGTTTTGGTATTATATTTTTTGGTTACGACACTACATATAGTCATCGATATGAGTTCTATTCTTAATTTTTTTTCTTTATTCTGCTTCTTTCTTTCTCTTATGTTTTTCTTTATTATCTTTTCTACGCTCATGCGTCGTTATGCACTAGGATAGACATCAGATGATGATCACAGATAGGAGACAGCAAAGAATTTTCATCAAGATTTTATTTCATTAAATGCTCAAAATAATCTCCCTCATTATCCACACACAGTTTCATCCGTTCAATCTATTTAT